TTCTTTTTAGGAAGTTTTTTATGACTGTTCAATTTCAGTGTGATATTGATCTATGACCAGGAATTTCTATTCTTCCTGGTTGAGCTAGGGGAGGCTGTGTGTTTCTAGAAATGTCCATTCTCCCACATTTTCTAGTTTGTGTGCATAGAAGTTTTTGTAGTATTCATAATTATATCTTGTATCTCCGTGGCATCAGTTTGTAATTTCTCCTTTATTGTTCCTGATGGAGCTTATTAGAGATTTTTCTTTTCTGCTTTTAGTTAGTCAAAGGTATGTCAATTTTGTTTATTTTTTCAAAGACACACTTTTTTTTTTTAATCTTTCGGTATGGTTCCCTGTTGTCAATTTCATTTAGTTTGATTTGATTTAATGATTTTCATTCTTTGCTGGGTTTGGGTCGGTCTATTCTTCTTTTCCAGCTCTTTGAGATGATTCATTAGGTTGTCTATTTGTGATCTCTTCGACTTTGGATATAGGCATTTATGGAAATAAACTTTCCTCTCAAGACTGCTTTAGCTGTATCCCACAGGTTTTGGTAACTGTGTCTCCTTTGTCATTTAGTTCAAAGAATCTTTTGATTTCCATCTTGATTTCCTCGTTGATGAAGTGATCATTCAGCAGAAGGTTGTTTAGTTTCCACGACTTTGTGTAGAAATGAGAGTTCCTGTTAGGGTTGATTTCCACTTTTTTCCGCTGTGATTGAAAGAGCATGGTATTATTTTATTTTTTTTAATTGTTTTGAACATGCTTTGTGTCTATGATATGGTCAATTAGGGAATGACCCATGAACTGATGAGAAGAACCTATATTCAGTGGTTTGGGGGTAGAATGTCCTATAAATATCAGTCAGGCCCATTTGTTCTAGATTTCTGTTCAAGTCCATTATTTCTTTGGTCATTTTATGTTTTGATATCTGTCCTGTGCTGTCTGTGGGGTGTTAAAGTCTCCACTATTATGGTACTGTTGTTCATCCATTTCTTTAGATCAAGTAGAGTTTGCTTTATGAATCTGGATGCACCAAGGGTGGGAGCATATATATTTGGAATTGTTATGGATTTTTGTTGAACTGTACCCTTCACCATTATATAGTGACTTTGTCTTTTATTACTTTTGTTGATTTAAAAACTAAGTTATCTGTAATCAGCACCACCACGCCAGCTTTCTTGTGGCTTCTGTTTGCTTGAAATATTTTTCTCCACCCCTTTATGTTAGTCTAACTGCATCCTTGCAGGTTAGATGTGTTTCCTGAAGGCAGCAGATACTTGGCTTGTGTTTTTTTATCCATTTGGCCAGCCTATGTCTCTTGAGTGGGGATTTCAAGCCATTCACATTTATTGAGATAACTGATAGGTGGGGCAGGTTTCTGTTCATTGTGTTGGGTTGGACTTTGTTGCTTTGTTTTCTCTCTTGAGCCATTGTGGTATCTGGGCTTTGATCTTCAGCTTTTTAGAAGATTTACATTCATGAGTGTTTATTGTGCTGATCTGTGGGTAACACTGTTTTGAGTACTTCTGGAAGGGCTGGTCTTGTGTTGGTGAATTCCCTCAGTCTTTGTTTATCTAAGAATGTCTTGATTTCTCCTTCGTACACAAAATTTAGTTTTACAGGGAATAAGATTCTAGGCTGGGCATTGTTCTGTTTCAGAAGAGTGAGAATGGGGCCCGTCTCTCCTTGCTTGTAAAGTTTCAGTAGAGAAGTCTGGTGTTATTGAGATTGGCTTTCCTTTGTTACTTGCTTCTTTCATCTTACAGCTCATAGAAGGGCCTCTTTAGTTGATATTTTGGTCAGTCTGATGACTGCATGTCGTGACGTCTTCCCGTTTGCATTGAATCTCCCAGGGGTCCTTTGAGCTTCTTGAACTTGTATATCGAGATTTTTACCAAGGCCTGGGAAATTTTCCTGTATTATATCTTCAAATAGTTTGTCCAACCCGTAAGTGTTTTCTTCTTCCCCTTCGGGTAACCCTATAACCCCCACATTAGGTTTCTTCACATAATCCCACATCTCTTGTTGGGTTTGGTCTTTTCTCTTATTTCTCTGCTCTATCTCTGTGGCTGATTTATTTAATTGGAAGGTGTTATCTTTAATCTCTGAGATTCTTTCTTCTGTTTTTTTTGTTTTGTTTTGTTTGTTTGTTTGTTTGTTTGAGACAGAGTCTTGCTTTGTTGCCCAGGCTAGAGTGAGTGCCATGGCGTCAGCCTAGCTCACAGCAACCTCAAACTCCTGGCTCAAGCAATCCTCCTCCCTCAGCCTCCCAAGTAGCTGGGACTACAGGCCACTGTAGTCTATTCTACATGGTGACTATTCGCCACCATGCCTGGCTAATTTTTTGTATATATATTAGTTGGCCAATTAATTTCTTTCTATTTATAGTAGAGATAGGGTCTCGCTCTTGCTCAGGCTGGTTTCGAACTCCTGACCTCGAGCAATCCGCCCGCCTCGGCCTCCCAGAGAGCTAGGATTACAGGTGTGAGCCACCGTGCCCGGCTCTTTCTTCTGTTTGATCTACCCTGTTCTTGAGGTTTTCCACTGTGTTTTGTAGTTCCCTGAATTGATTCTTCATTTCCAGGAGTTCCGTTTGATTTTTCTTCATTGTTTCAATTTCTTTAGTGAATTTTTCTTCCAGTTCCTGCAATCTTTTTGCATTTTCTTTGTGTTGGTTATCCAGTTTTTCCTGCAAGTTGTTGAATTTTTTTTATGATCCACGTTCGAAATTCTTCTGTCATTTTAGTGGTCTGATTTTGGTTGATGTCCATTTCTAAGGGGCTTGTGCTCCTCTTTCGGGGTGTGCTTTCTGTTTGGTTCTTCATATTTCCAGAGTTCCTTTGCTGATTTCTTCCCATGTAGATCAGTTGTTGCTTCTTTCCTTTAGGTTTTTGTTTGGATAATGACACACCCTGTTTAATCTCTGAGCCAGTAGGTGGTGTTTGTGGGTCAGATTCAACCACACCCTGTATGATGAGCCAGTAGATGCCGTAAAAGGGTGTGCAGAGTGTCCTCCCTGTTCATAAGTGGCATTTGCTGTGAGGAATAGGCCACACTCTTGTTTTTGGGTCTTGTATCCAGCTCTTGTTCCTCTGGAGAGGCACTCTAGTGCCTCAGGTGGTTGGTGGGGCCCTGGGACTTCCAGGTGTGTCTTAATCTCCACCTTAGTGAGGGCTGATCTGGGAGTGAGTCTGGGTGGAGCTGCATTTGGTAAGCCTGCCCTCAGGCACCACCAATGCTGTTGGCAGGGGTCAAAGTTCTGTTCTCTGCTTCTGGGAAAAGCTGTCAGGGAGGGGTTTGGAATGGCCCTACTCAGTCAGAAAGTCTGCGTGTGGGTGTGGGCCATCACCATCTGAGACCCACAGTCTGGAGCAGGCGTCACTCCTTTCCACCCTCCCCAAATCCGCAGCTTCTCCTGGGCCTCTGCCAGCAGGCCAGACCTCATGCCACCGGGTCTCCCCTGGCTGTGATGCAGGTCAGGAGGTTCCTTGCACAGGATCGCCACCTGGGCTGGGAACACAGCCCCCATTTGGGAAGAGGGTTGCCCTCAAGCATGCTGATCTGCCCCCGAAGGCACACACACCTAAGTAGGCGGTTCATGAATATCCCTTCTGTGCCCCGGGCAATGCAAGACCTCGGTGCATGGGATCTGATCTGCAGGTCTGACCTCTGGGCCCCAGAGTTCAATCCCTAACCCCACCAGGGAGAAAAGTCCAGTGCTAATTCACCCATGGGGAGCCCAAGCTGGGTTGATGTCTCTCACCCTCAGTGTCTGCCCCATTCTCCTGGAATCACCAGGCCAGCAGCACCTGGAAGGGCTGGCAGGTAGGGAGCTCACCGTCTGAGTACCCCTCAGTCAGCTGAAGGGCCCCAAAAGGGAAAGTCCCATTCCCTGGAGATGCCTCCAGCTGGTGGCTGTAATGTCTCTCTTGGCAGCCATGGATAGGGCCGGGGGAGGGGAGAATGAAGCAATATGGCGCCTGTGGTGCAGCTCGGGTCTGTGCACATGGAGGTGCCCCAATTTGGGAGCCTGGTGCCATGTCCACTACAGGCTTACCACTCACTGGTGGTGGCCATCTCTGGGCTGGTGTCTGCAGGTCTCTCCAACAACTGGGGAGCCCACTAGCAGTCCAAGATGCAAGGGAGGGGGAAGTTAACTGCTCTTCCTACCCTTGCCACTGGTCTCCAAGCTACTTCGGAGGTCTCTTCTTCCAGTTCTCCTCCGCAACCTCCTCCTGTGGAGTCTCCCATAGTCTCCGGTACCCCTCCTTCTGACCCTCATCCGATGTATGCTCGTCTGCTTGCTTCTTTCTTCTAATTTGTCCTAGAATCTGTCTTTTCTGCAGAGACACTCTGTCTGGTGGTGTTTCTCATCCGCCGTCTTGCTCCTCTTATGAGTTTTTAATACTATATGTGAAGTGAAATGCTATCGTATATTAATATACACTATTTTATCATAATGTTCATATATTTATGTATACCCAAGTATGTGTACATATGTATACATGTATGTGCGATACATACATACATGTGTTTTGAGACAGAGTTCATATGCTTCACCATATGGGTACATGGCACAACACAGTTTGTAAACCCCTGATTAGGAGCAAGAGCATAAAGGATTCATCCAGTGACTCAGGATATATAAACACATTTTAAAGTATTTTTAGGTGAATGATCAAATGATGGTTTTTTCCTTTTTACCTTTAACTATGACATGAGTACTCCCTGACAAAGATAAGATGGGTCCCAGTATCAATTTTGCTGCCACAGCAACTGTAGCCACTACACCTAGCTCCATTCTGAAAATGTGTCACTTCTTGTTTTGGGCTCAAATCAGCCACAGTGGCAGAAACCCATGAAATCACAGGTGAAGCTTAATGATGACCACTGCCTATTCTCTTCACTTGACCCAAGAGGCCATTAGAAATAGTCCAAAGACCCACTGAGGGAAATGGATATTATTTCCCAGAAGCAAATACAGCTCAGCTTGTACTTTGGAACAATTGATCGACCTTGCCACTTGCACAATCTACTAGCAAAGGTTATGCAGTGCCTGAACATGATCATGGCAGAATCACCAGGCCTCGTCACCATTTGCCTTTTAGGATATCTACTCATTGCTGAATGTGCAGGTTGGTTTCCTTTTAAAAATACATTGAGTATGATTGTCTTTTAGATATAGAAATATCTGTTGTCTTCTTCACTAAATAATGATTGCATGATTTGACAGCAATATTGAAGATTCTAGCAGCCAGCATGCAGGTTGGTAAGTACTGGGTCTCTGGTAGCTGGGTTTTCTTCTTCTTCACTTTTAAAGCTAAATAGGTTTACAATGCTTGTAATACATTTTTTATTTAATGGATACTATTGAGCTTATGACTTGACAATGTAATTCCTCTTAGAAAACATTCATTTCCTTGATTAAACAAGTTAAAAGTGGGAAAACATTTTAACAAGGAAACAACAGAATATGCAGGAAAAATTAACTACATATTTTGGGGGGTTTTTGACTCACCCCTTTGAAATCAAAATGGGAAACATTAAAACCATAAACAATGGTCTGATTTACACAAAAAATCTGATTTTAAGAAACATGCTGCATTTCAAAATTTTGAAAGTATATAACAAGGCATGTCCCTAATTTTTAAAATTATATACCTTCAATTTAAAGTTTTAGTTAAAGTACAAAGATTAACATTTCATTGGTAAGTAGTTATTTGTCACTGAAGTTTTTCATGGATTGGGAAAAAATCATTTTGTCTCTATTCCAAACATCTTAGATTCGATATTTGGAGAAACACAATGCTTAGTTGAGCTCCCTAGGGGAGAAAAGCAAGTCCAAGAATTGACGTAAAGAGTAAGACATTAGTTAATCTAACGTATATCACTTTGTTTTCTCACAACTACAGACTTTATATACTCCCCAGAGGAAGGCACACAGGGAAGAATTACCCCATTTGGACAAACAGCATGTTCTCACAGGAAGCATGAATCACACTTACTTGTCAACCTTCTCAAATCAAATCTAGTAGCTGACAGTACCAGGATCAGGGGTGCCAACCCTAAGCGTCCCCAGAAAGCAGAGTGGCCCTGTGGTTCCCACTCCAGACATGATGTCAACTGTGGAATCAGACTGAAATGTTAAAATAATGATTCGAGAATACAGAGGTTAAACTATCAAAATGGGTAGAGTCAAGGGATAAAGAAAATTTGTTGGAAAACTCACAAAGCAGGACATAAAGCAATGTCATTAGACATAGCTCATCAGTGTGACATCTGGGAGGACAAAGAATCCAAACTTTTTCTTAGAGATTAGTGGTGAGATGATGAAGGTTACAAGAGGGCTACTGCTTTCCTGAAGACTTCAGATGTTGCAAAAAGGATAGATACAAAGAAAGAGGAGCTAGGATTTCAGAGTTGGGAAAATAATTACTAGAGATAAACGTGAAGGTAAGTTAAATATATGACCCCCAGACAATACTAAGGAGAAAGGCGGTGTGATTCTGGAGCCATTATAGTCAAAGATAATAGGTCCTTGAGGAAAGTGCCAGAGGAATTTCCCTAAGGATGGACAGTATTGATGCAGCACTCTCTTCTGTTATTAAACTGTCACTGGCATCTAAAAGGAGTGATTTGCTGAGATGCTGCATTTTCATGGCTGCTTCTTTTAGGTATTATTGCATCAATTTGGAATTTTGAAATCAAAACTGTTCTGTAAAACCAATTTAGTTTTGTAAAGTATATGGATCAAAGCTGTCTTTCATTCATTCAGACATTACTGAGTTATTACTATGGTGCCAGGTACTGTGGCAGGGTACTAGGGAAATGGGGATACACCAAATTCCCTCTTTGACCTAAAACACCATGAGGTCAGGTAAGAAATTTCAATATAATGTAACAAAATGTATACTAGGTGCTAAGGGGTCATAGAGAAAGGAATACAGTAAATGGCAAAACACTTGAGAGACAGTATTTTGAGCTGAGTCTTGAAAGATGAGTAGGAGTTCACTCTCCTTAAAAGTCTTATCTAAGGCATTTTATGCAGAGAGGATCACTCATCTGCAAAGCTCCAGATCAACAAGGATGTAAGGTATTTCATGAATTCTGTATATTTGAATATTGATTATAACAAGTAAGGCAGGAGAATTAGGCGGAGCTGGATCAACAGATAAGAAAGGCCCTAAACCAAGGAGATTGGACAGTAAAATTCAATGTGGAGGTAGCAGAAGTGCAAACATAAGCAGTACCACTGCTGGCTGATTTAGGATGCCCAGTCCAGCAGCACTCTGATGAACTGATGAGGGTGGTGCCAAGACCAGGGTAGAGCAGTCCTGAGGCTACTGCAATCATCCAGGGCAGATACAAAGGCCAGAACCTGGACAGTAGCTGGACAGAGAAAAGGAGAATTCAAATGATATTAAGGAAGTAGAAATGACTTGACTTAATAAGCATCTGGGTATGGAAGGAAGCGTACAGAGTACATCTTGAGCATTTTGAGTTTGATGTGATTATGAGACACAGCATAGTAGCTAAGAGGATGAGCCGTTTAGTCTGACTGCCAGAGTCTAAATCATGGCTGTGTTATTTTAGCATGTTACCCTGGGCAAAGTATTTAGCCTCTCTGAACCTCAGTTTTCCTTATTTACAAAAATAAGATGACAGTGCCTACCTCATGGGACTCTTATGAGGATGAAGTGAGATAATGATAGAAAGTACTAAGCACAGTGTCCAGCACAACAGAAGCATTACATAAACATCAGCTATCGCTGGCCACATTACAGTGGACAGAGAGCTGAAAAGATGATGTGAAATTCAGAAGATATATCTGAATAGAGGTGGGTATTTGGGACTCAGTGTTATATAAACAGTAGTTATAGCCATGTGTGTGTGAACATCCAGAGAGTATGGATATTGTGATACCTAATACAGTGCCTGGCAGTAGTGGTTAAGTGCTCAGTAAATTTTGTTGAAAGGGTTAGAGCCAGACTAGGATGCAGCGAGCAAGGCCAATAGGGCATAAATGTACTTGTACACCTTGAGAGTGAGGACCCCTTAAATGTCATGCCCTAGACATCTTGTTTACCTCATTTTAGTCCCAGCCCTGGCAAGTATATGTGGAGTGAAAAGGGAAAAGACTGAGGCTAGTGCCTGGAAGAACCCTGGACATTTCAGGGCCAGGCAGAGGAAGAAAGTTAATCGACTCAAGTGGTGGATGAATAACAAAGAGTTAGAGCCAACAGGAGAACGAGAATAAAGTGATTTCATGGAAAGAGTTTACTAAAAAGGCAGAGATCAACAACTGGAAATGATTTAGAGCAGTCAATAAATACTGAACTCAAAATCATCCTTTAGGAGGTCATTGCTGATTGTGACAATAGTCATTTCATTATATGAATGGGAGAATGAAAGTAAAGAGCTATACAAAATTACACTAAAGAGAATTGAGAAAATTAAAAAGAAAGGAAAGCCAGCATGAGAGGAGTAGGGAGAAGGAGACACAAGCAGTGTATGCCAGCCTACATATTATCTCATTAATCCTGTCAACAACACTGAGGTAGACATTCTTATTGTACTGTTATGCCCATTTTACATTTGACAAAGGTATGGTTCAGAGTTTATGTGACTTGTCCAGTGTTACACAGTCAAGAGGAGGCAGATATGTGATTCAAACCACCCAGGTCTGTCCGATCTGATTCTAAACCCTGTTTGTTCACTCAAACATGCTGTGCAGTCGCCCCCCCCCCATGTTTTCCATATCCACAGAATCAAGCAACTGTGAATCAAAAATATTCAGGGGAAAAAATGGATGGTTGTCTCTGTACTAAACATGTACAGACCTTTTTTTCTTCCTATGATTTCCTAAATGATATAGTATAACAAGTATTTACATTGTATTAGCCACTATAAGTAACCTAGAGACAATTTAAGGATACAGTAGGATAAGCATAGGTTTATACAAATACTATGCCATTCTATATTAGAGACTTGAGCATCTGCCAATTTGGGTATCCACAGGGGGTCCTACAACCAATCTTCTGCAGATACAGAGGGACAACTGTAAATGGATGCAAACATGGATGTTATTTTGGAGTGCCCAGGGCCAAGTAACGAGTTGCTGAGGAGAGAAGTGGGCCTGATGGAGGGTGGAAGGCATCAATATGTGGTGCCACCTATCTGTAGCTTGATGATTCTCCCATGGTGTTAGGCCGTCTGGGAAGAGAAGAAGGAAGGCAGATGGTGGCACTGATCTAGAGGTTGGGATTGCAGGGGAGGCGTAGCATTGCAAAGGGGTAAAGGGAATTGAGAAAGTTGACAAGCGAAGAGTTGAAGAGAAAACATCTAGGCTAAATTCAGGAAAAAGTGAGCTCAAAGAGGACTTGCAGAGCAAGAGAAAAGCAAGGATGTCAAGGGACTAAAACATTCCATAAAGTGAACAGCTGCAATGAAAATAAGGGAATAAAGTTTAGTTTCTTTCTTTCTTTTTTTTTTTTTTTGAATTAATGAAAAAGTAGTCCCAAATGCCCTGGAAAGATTATCTTATAAGCACTTGGTCCTGTTGAGATGACATCAGATATATTGCTAGTCTCTTGAAGAAAGGAACAACTCCAGGCAACTTCTTGAGTACCTCTTATTAATTTTACATATATAAAATATATGCACACACATGTATATACATAAACACACATACATGTGTATGTTTACAGTCATGCATAGCTTAACTGGGATATATTCTGAGAAATGCATCATTAGTTGATTTCCTCATTGTGCGAACATCATAAAGTATACTTCATAAACCTAGGTAGTCTAGCCTACTACACACCTAAGCTATATGGAAAAGCCTATTTATTGCTCCCAGGCTACAAACCTATACAGCATGTTACTGTACTGAGTACTGGCTACTGTAGGCAATTGTAACACAATGGTAAGTATTTGCATATCTAAATATATCTAAACATAGAAAAAGTACAGTGAAAATACAGTATTATAATTTTATAGAACCACCATTGTATATGCAGTCCATTGTTGACTGAAACATTGTTACGTGGCACATGACTGCATGGCTGTATACATAGAGAGAGAGACAGAGATGGGAGAGAAGGAAGAAGGGAGAGAATTCAGATAGAGACCTCAACCTTCCGGAGTTCAGGAGTGTCCCTGCAGACTAGGCAATCATAGCTAAAATAAACTACATCCTGAATTCCTAAGAAATGCTTAAATCACTGGAATTCCTATAACACATGCCAACTGAAGGTGTTCTGGGTATAAAGATTAAAAAAATTATGCAGTGGTTTTTATTTAACATCTAGTGAGACACTTGAGTCACATTTACAGCTGGACCACAGTTGCCTAAATGTCTGTTCTTCAGGAGACATTTTTTGCGAAGTCATTTGGGCAACTGCATCCTGAAAACCCAGCCCAGCCAGGGTGATGGATCACCCTGCAAGGATCTGCAATGAGCTATTTTCAAGTGATGACAAAGTGTGAAGTTAACTGCTTATTTGAGAACTTTCCTTTTCATCCAAAGTAAATTCAAATACGATTGAAAATCTGACCTTTTATTACTGGAACTCTCCTGACTAAAAGTAAAATTGAATTTTAATTCCTAAATCTCCATGTGCATACAGTACTGTGGAAACATCACAGATTTTGGCTCCATGCCCCAAAGAGAAATTGGCTTTGGGATTACTTGGATTAAAAACAAAGCCTTTCTTAAGAGATGTATTTAATTTTCATGATGTTTTCTTTTTCCTAAAGTATAGCTCTTTTAAATTTCAGTTTTTCTTGATCGTGAAAATGCCAACAAAATTCTGAGTCGGCCAAAGAGGTATAATTCAGGTAAATTGGAAGAATTTGTCCGAGGGAACCTTGAAAGAGAATGTATAGAAGAAAAGTGTAGTTTTGAAGAAGCACGAGAAGTTTTTGAAAACACTGAAAGAACGGTGAGTATTTCCGTATAATATCCTTCAGAAGCAGAGAAAGAATATAAAACTTTTAAAAAAGATACTTCTCTTTGGAATTTTAAAATATCCATACATATATGTGTATTATAAATGTTATAAAAGAGAAGAAATCAACACCAAGACACTTTATATGCTACCATTAACTTGTCCTCATTTTTTCTTTATAGACTGAATTTTGGAAACAGTACGTTGGTAAGCAATTCATTTTATCCTCTAGCTAATACATGAAACATTCAAGAATTTGTATTTTTTCTCTGTATAAATAGAAAATACCGTGTGTCCCCAAAAATAAGACAGGGTCTTATATTTATTTTTCCTCAAGAAGACACCCTAGGGCTAATTTTCAGGGGATGTGTTATTTTACCCTCAAAGCCTCAGCTTGCAGCACGCACAGGATGGCTGGGACCTGACAGGAGGAGCCGACCTTGTTGGTGGGTCTGCCCACACCTTTCCAGTCACCTCTGGGATAGTAGCTGTCGCGATGGGGCAGATGAGAAGGACTGCTCATCTTCTTTACCGCTCCCTGATGAAATGCATGGGTTGTGCAGATACGCTGCGTAGCCACGCCCATCACTAGGTCTTATTTTCAGGGTAGGGCTTATATTGCGCAAATGCTTAGAAATCCTGCTAGGGTGTATTTTATGGGTAGGTCTTATTTTGGGGGAAACACGATATCGGCAAGGCTGCTCTAAAAATGGTCACAACCACAACAAACTACAGGTTTGCTAGATCATGTGTTAAGTATAACATGGATGCAAGGGAGAGTAAACTTTTAATATCAGGACAAAATCTGCTAAGATAATGCCAGCTTGGATCTTGCACCATACAAACAAGAAAATCCCCAAATAAAGGTCACTAACACGAAAACCAAATATTCCGATTATTGCCATCATCAATTATTAATTTATTTATTCATTAACAAACCATCATAGCGGGGTGTGTGTGTGTGTGTGTGTGTGTGTGTCTGTGTATGAGGCAGTGTGGGAAAATAATAAAAGGAGGAATGGGGGGCAGGGCTTATATTGTGGAAATGCTTAGAAATCCTGCTAGGGCTTATTTTATGGGTAGGTCTTATTTTCAGAGAAACACAGTATATTAAAGTCTGTCAAAAGGACTCAGATCAGTCCAACCCTTTAACCTAAGATTGAATGGTGATATACTACTGCTTTAGGCTAGCACGGGAGCTATTGGCTAGCAGTTAAACTTGCTCCTCCCTAGTCACAAAGAATATTGTTCCACTCTGGGAAGCTGGAAGAAAGAAACTGAAATGATTGTATCTTACGACCTAATAGGAGTCTGCAATCCTAAGTAAGGAATCAGAGAATGATGATTGACCTAAATGTTTACTGTTTCCAAGTCCTCCTCTTTTAGATGGCTGACAAGGTCTTCTGTGACTGTCCCTCCTCACCCTTCACATTGCCCTTCTCATCTCCTCTCCTAAGATGCTTCTCTTCACACACTGGGCTCCAGCCATCCTGGCCTTCCTGTTGCTCCTTACATACTCTTGGAAAGCTTCCATTTTACAGGCTTTATCTAGTTGTTCCCAGCTTCCCCTGGGCTGGTTCCCTCACCTCCTTCAGGCCCTCACCCAAATGTTACCATCTCAATGAGGCCCACGTTGATCATCTACTAATATTCCAACCTGCCTACCAGTAGCCCCACAACTCTAGACACTCATGTTCTGTTCTATTTTTAATAGCACTTTTCACCACCTAATGTATCATATCATTTTCTTATTCTATTTGTCATTTATTTTTCCTACTCTACTAGAATGTAAGCTTCATGTTAGCAGAGATATTCAATTGTTTTATATTTTGGTATATTCCTATCACCTAGACCAATATCTAGAACAGAGGGACTCAGTAAATATTTGTCCAATTAACTGCCCAAAAGGAAGAAAATGCAAAACTTTAATGATAACTAATTTTAAAACTACAGTCATTTAAAATCCAGTAGTAGGATTTTCAGGGAAGATAAGTTTCAAAGATTGATTTACGTATAATCATATGTATAGATAGAAACAAATTAACTTAGACACCAAATTTACCAAATTCTACCAGGTGGAGATCCAACTCTATTTTTTACAAGTTTCTATTCTGGAGACACTATTGGGCATTGTCTTATCCTCATAACTCATAATTCCTCCACTATTATTTTAAGGTATAAGAGAAAATGAGATTCACTCTTATATTGCTTTAACTATCTTTTTTTGTTCTTGGTGATAAATGCTACCATGAAAATTTCTACCAAGGTATCTCCTAAAGTTAGTCCAAACAAGTCTTTTTTACTGTCTATTCCCACTGAACTTAAAACTTGGAATCCTATGATTTATTTCTAAAAGCAAATCAATGTCTACTTTTCAAAAAATATATATTCTTGGCTGTATTTACACTCCTATGATCTCTTCATTGCCCACTCCCACCCTCAGCAGAGTATTTTCATGTTGGGGCCCTGCCTTCTAAGTCACACAGGTTCATTGTTTGCTAGACCTCAGGCATAGATGATACCTGGGGAATATCAAGGGCATGATTCTGTCACTACTGCTTTGGCAAACAAAAAATAAAACAACAGAAACAAACTTCATGCCCCTTCTCACTTATAGTTGAGATTCCTAATCACTGCAAAAGTAGCCTATGGGCCAGGTGCGGTGGCTTGCACCTGTAATCCTAGCACTCTGGGAGGCCAAGGAAGGAGAATCACTTGAGGCCAGGAGTTCAAGACCAGCCTAAGCAAGAGTGAGACCCCATCTCTACAAAAAACAGAAAAAATAGCCAGGCATAGTAGCACGCCTGTAGTCCCAGCTATTCAGGAGGCTGAGGCAAGAGGATCACTTAAACTCAGGAGTTTGTGGTTGCTGTGAGCTATGACAACACCATGCACTCTAGCCTGGGTGAGAGAGCAAGATCCTATCTCAAAAAAGAAAAAAAGAAAAGTAGCCTATGCTATTTCTCACATCTAGCAAGCATACAGACTCCACACTGCTGTGATCCTCTGTAACATCAACTCACCACATAAAGAGCTTGGTTGAAGAAAACTGATCACCCAACCACATTTACAAGCACCTGTCAAGCACTTTATAGTTTACAGAATGCCTATCACATTTAACCTTCACACCATCTTTGTGAGAAAGGCATTATTAACACCATCTCACAAAGGAGGAAACTGAGGCTTAGAGAGGTTAAAGGACTTGCCAAGGGTCACCCAGATGAGGAGTCATGAAGACCAGAAGAGAACCCAAGCTCTCCACTGCCCACATCCTTGCTTTCACTATTATATCTCAAGGTCTTCAAATCTAAACACAGTTATTCATTAAAGAGGAGCCTAGCAGTCTTACACAGATATCTCTCATTTAGCAAGGTCTTGTCTCTTGTTGTCTTTGACCCCAATTGTCTATGGCATTGCCTCAGCCCAAAGTACACACAGACAAGAACCCAAAGGAGGACTAAATGCAGGATAAAATGACACTCATTTTAATGATATGTCTTAGCAAATGAGTTCCTGTGTAGCTGGCTGAAAGCCCAGACCCTTTCAGTGAAACATCCTAAATAATTCAGAATTGTTGGTCTATAATATAAAGTGCAAATGTAGCTCATTTTTTAGACCAGTCCTGAACATCAATAATAATAAACCAGAGATAATATATTTTGTTTTCATAGAATTGGAACAAATTGAAGTATCTGTGCAAAAGCACACTGGATCAAGGGGCAAAGGAGACAAGGTCTAATTTTTACAGTAAGCAGATTTTCCAGAGAGGGACTATTTCTGAGGAAGGGATTTTAGTCCCTTAGTCAATGGGATCTAGATACATGCTTCTGACAGAGACGAGGGAGAACAGGCAGGGGTCTACGCAGTAGATGTCAGGAAGTTTTGCTCTAAAGTATGACTGGTAATTAGAAATGTCTCCTTGATTTCTCCCTTTTCTCTCATTCTTTGATTATTATTGTTATCTTTATCTCTTGCTCTTTTGTCTCTCATATATTGAGTCTTACTGACCTAGGTCCAATTTTTCTTCAGGGCTATTTTTCTTAGCTCAAAGTGCGTACCAGTCTCCCTTCCAGTTCTGTTCATCCTTTTCTCTTGAAGCTTCCTTAGAAGTATAGATTAAGGCAGAGCACTAAGAGACCAGACTTAAGATTCCCTTCTCATCCTGACTCTTTCCCTCTCACCTATTTCTTCCTCCTGTTTTCTTACCACCAGTGTCTTCAAAGGCTTTCAAGAACTCTGTAAATATAGAAACTCCAGGAAAGGTAGAATGAAAACATAGCCAATCTACACATGATAAAGCACACTGTAGAATCTTTTTACATTCTTTATGATATATTGAATGCTGTTTTCTCACTTTACCTAGACCATTGGGAACCTAACTTGTAGATCGTAGACCAGGGGTCCTCAAACTTTTTAAACAAGCGGCCAGCTCACTGTCCCTCAGACCATTGGAGGGCCAGACTATAGTTTTAAAAAACTATGAACAAATTCCTATGCACACTGCACATATCTTATTTTGAAGTAAAATAACAAACGGGCAAAAACACCCATGTGGCCCGCGGGATGCAATTTGAGGATGCCTATGACTATCTCTAAGCAGTAACAGATGCTCCTGGCATCTTTTCTATTGTCTTGGAGCATTACTGCATACCACACTTCAAAGTTAAATGACAATATAAGGAAGTAGATACATTTGCTCCATGCCTAGACTGCCAGTTCCTACAGTAGAAACATCATATATTATCTAGTTCAACTTGCTCTGTAAGACTTGTGAAAGAGCAGGCCTTGTATGACATATGGATAATTTGTTCAAGTAATTCGATTTGATTTAGAATTAACCCTGCCATCATTTTATAAGGAAGGATTGAAAATATTTCTCACCGTATGCTGATATTTCTATACAATATATTGACATTTCAAAAAAAAAATGTTCCTCTTCCTCTTTCCTTGGATTACATAACCTATGTACATGCCTTCCTTGGGGCAATTTCTTAGGATAGTAGTAGCCTAGAAACCTTTCCTTGCGTGGCTTTTAGAAATTCAGGAAGACAGGAACATCACATGCTTATAGGCAGCTGGTTTTCTTTTTTTTATTATTTTTTATTTCAGGATATTATGAGGGTATAAACATTTTGGTCACATTCCATATCATTGCCTCTCCCCAGGAGGGGTCAGAGGCATGCTCCTCCCCGCCACAATGCATACCATGTCCTTTAATTGTGAGTTTATCATCCGCCAACCCCCTATCCCTGGAGAATATCACTACCATGTGAGCACCATAGTGTTAGGCAGTCAGTACCAATTTGATGGCGAGTACAAGTGGAGCCTATTCTTCCGATTTTGTGCTACCTCACTTCAGATAATGGGCTCAAGCTCAATCTAGGAAAATACACAGGTGCTAGATCACTGTCATTTCTTATAATTGAGTAATATTCCACTGTAAAGATATACCAAATTTTAACAATCCACTCATGAAATGATGGGCACTTAGGTTGTTTCCACGTCCTTGCAATAGTGAATTGTGCTGCCATAAACATTTGGGTGCAGATGTCTTTATTATAGAATGTCTTTTGCTCTTTGGGGTAGATGCCTAATAGTGCTATTTCTGGATCAAATGGTATTTCTATTTTTAGCTCTTTGAGGTATCTCCAAATTCTTTTCCACAGAGGTTGCACTAATTAGCAGCCCCACCAACAGTGTAAGAGTGCTGGTTTTCATGTCAGTAGTTCTGCTCTGACTTTAAAATCTGTCCCATTCCCATAAGTCTGTGCAGGGGAGGACTGGGCATTCTCAGCAGTGTATCTGCTAATTCAATTTTTAACCTACCTCTAAGATGGAGATCAGTGTGAGTCCAATCCGTGTTTAAATGGTGGCAGTTGCAAGGATGACATTAATTCCTATGAATGTTGGTGTCGACTTGGATTTGAAGGGAAGAACTGTGAATTAGGTAAGTAACTATTTTTGATTACTATTTTTTGATTTTTTGAAACTTAGGTTTAAAGTTTCCCTTTGAAACTAATTGAAATTAGAAAATCCAATTTTGATGTATCATAATTTTCTCTTAAAACCTATACTTTCAAAGCTGAAATATATTCCCTTCATCTATAGTCATAGTTTTCAGAATATGAGTTCAAGAAACTATATCAAAATAAATTAACAATATTTGGTAGCTAATATTAAGTGGTAATGATGTTCCACTTACTTCACTTATTAATCCCAATACAACCATATTCAGTCAGCACCATTATTCCCATTCTGTGCAGCTCCAACAGCCCCAAATCACAGAGGTATAAATGATTTAGTCAGGACTTGAACTTCAGTTTGCCCAAAACCCATGCCTCTAAGTACTGTACTCAAAACTCAGAGAAAACTAAACCCATGAAATTGTTTGAACTCATTACTAAATTGCTGTCAACAATGGAAGTCAATTAAGTATAGAATTGGGGTATGACAGGCCAATTATCCCGCATAATAGGAACTTTTCCACACATACAAACCACTTCACATGCTACATTTGTCAACAAAAATCAGAGTTCATTTCTGAATTTGACTATATTGATTATATCAAAAGAGTTCCATAACAAACATAGGATCATTGTGTACCTTTTCTTCTCATAAACCAGAGTATTTTTTCTGGGGTTTTGGTAATTGGAGCAGAAAACTCCAAAGTCCTTTCTCTACTTGTTTATTACTTCCACATGCAATATTACTGGTATTGTGACTGTGAAAAGCACACAGTGCTAATGAGGGATTCTCTTTTTACTCTGAAACTTGAGAAGAATAGAGATGTAATCCTAGGGAAAGAATTTAACACCACAGGCTACATGACTAAGGACAAAGAGTAGAAAATTAGCAGGACTCTATTAAGGCCTTATAGGGATCCATCTGACAGATGAAAAAGGCATAAAATGAAATGAAATGTAGCAGCTGCACTTGTCCTATTGAGAAAGGAAAAAACGTCACCTGTAATACTGTTCAGAAACCTTTCAGTACTAAAGAAAAATTCATTGATCATCTTCCTTTGAGCTCTAAAAGATCTTAGAAGTAAGAAAAGGAAATGGGCAAAAACATTTGAAAAGAAAGAAAAGAGTGAATGCGGGTGGATGAACTAGCACACCTGGCTTGGACCCCCATTCCCTTGGGTTTCCCAGCAGGGGGACAAACTAATACCTGGGTTACTGTTCCTGTGGGTGTTTTAATTGGTTCAGTATCTCTGATGTGGTACTTTCATCTGAAAGGTTACAATTTTAAATTCAGATTTACCTGGATAAATTTGATCTTGCTATTATGGAAACCTACAGAAATCTTTGGAGTAGTTACTCATTATCAGCTTAAATAACATAACTCTTGGAGCTGGGGGAATGAATAACTCAATTAGTCTCAGTTATGACTAAAGGGCATGTTGTAATAAACTATAATCAAAAACATAAATGTCTTTATCTAGTTTAAAAGTAAAGATGTTTTAAACGGAGGGAGAGAATAGCCTTGAGGAATGTAAACTTGAGCACAAAACTTCTATAACAGAATTTACTAAGTATGTGGTGATGATCCACACAGCAAAAATGCTAAATCTACAACTGGCACCATCTCAATACTCTCAGATTCCCACATTTTGGTTTGGCCAGGGTTGTGCAGTTACACTGCAGCCATCACCATGCCTGGCCTCTAGGGAATATTGATTTCACCCAGTCAATCTGATCAAGGTTTAGAAAAATCTTTTCAGCTCAGTTAGTTCATAAACAAAATGAGAATTCCCTCAAAAATCTCTTTATCTCAGACAGTAGAGGAAAGCAACAGCAAAAGCATACACAAACTCCCATTTAAGCTTTTTGCTTCAAAAACTAAAAAATCATTTCCAAAGCTACTAAATAGCACTATTTATGTGGTATCTGGGCTCTAAGTCTCTTGCCTGACATTGTCTTGGAAAAGGAAAGGAAATTTCCATTGATATGACTTTTTTTCTTTTTCCCTTGTTCATCAGGCTCTTCCTTAGGGGAGCGAGATGCAAACATTCAGGCACTTTTCCTAGTTAGAAGAATAACAATTAATTTACTATTGGATTCCTTTGGCTACAATAAGACCTCTGTATATCTCCAGCTGCACATCAATTCTGAATCTCTTTCCGAGAGATCGAGGTCTGTAAGAATTTGGTCATTCTTGACCCTTCTAAGAGTACAAGAGCCCACAGAAAGGTAGAATAAAAAAAACCACAGGCACACAAATACTTTTTTTCCCATTTTTCCAGCACTTCACAGACACTACTGTCTTATTTACTATGTATTTCTGTGAAGTGGGGAAAAATGGAACTATGTTGAATTTAGCTGAAAAACAGCATATTTTGTAGTAAACTTGTTAGATAGAACATCTTTCTTCCAAGCTGCAGTTGCCACATCAGTAGATAGATCAGGAAAGATGAAAGCAGAGTAAAATAAAGCAGAACATAACATCTGTAGTAGGCATGAAGGGGATTAGAAATAGTATTTGTGCTAACATGGAGGGAGAAGAACAGATGCTTTGAGGGTTCTTCAACAGATATGCTAGGCACTGAGGCCAGCTTCAGGACCAGGGAGAGAACCCATACCCAATACAGTGCCTGACATCTAAATGTTCAAAAATTGATGAATGAGTTCCATTCAGAGTGTTCCTCAGGTCCTGCTCTACAGACCTCTCCCCTGGATTCCTTGTGCTTTTATTCTATTTCTAGAAATTTGAGCCTTTTACCTGAGGGCAAAAGATTACTGACTAGGCAGCAATATTTCCCACCACAAGCACAAATGAAGACAAAGATCAACAGCAGCAGCAATACACTGGGCCATCAAGGGCAATAACAAACGAGAAAAATGATAGAGAGGGCTGGTTACTTAGCCAAGGACACAGAATCAAAATTGAGAAAACCCCACTGAGTTTACCTATTCCCACTGTACAGGCCCTGGACAAAACCAGGCTCCATTTACCACCCACCTCTGTTAACTTATCATAGTCTCATACTGACTGAACACTTTCTACAGGTGGTATTTGATTTGGCAGAACACTTTAGTATTGCTCTGTAGCAACAAAATCATAGCTAGTAACATGAAGAAAGCCAGGGATGTTAATCACTGTTAGTGAGGAGAAAGATCCTAAATAAATTAATTAAAAGGACCGAGTGTCATCTTTTTTCTATCATGTACTTAATGGATTATTGGTAGCAAAGGTTAAAGTTCAGGCTGGTTTCTTTGTCTACCCGGCAACAATTTATTTGCCTCCCCTTACTTCCTGAAGTATCAGTAAGGAGTAAGAGCTAATTATTACACTAGCCTATACCAGCATATGTAAAATAGGGTTTAAAAATTATTTAGATTTGTCACTCAAAAATTCGTGTTATACTTAAAAACCACACAGTCGCTCTGTTAGCCTACATTCCACCAGAAAAAAAGAGCCTGTGATACCAGCTTATTTCTTAGGGTATGTAATCCTAGGGAGCAAGAGTAAGGGACAAGAGAATGTGGCAGTGAAAAACGGAGAGCCAATGGGAGGATGAGTTATCAAACTACTTGCCTGTAACTGCAAGTGACTGCTTGATTTCCTGGGACTGTATCCAAAAAGTCATATGAACTGGCTGCAGGACAGTACACCTGAGAGGAAAGAAGAGGTGAAAGAATTTGTCCATCAGTATCTGTCTTCCATTGGTCAAAAGGTCAGTCTACGGGGTGTTAACTCCCCTACATTTCCTGGCTGGGCATGCTCAGCACTCAGACAGTCATATCACATCCCAGGCCTCAGCATCAACATGGAAGCCGCAAGGCAAGAAGTTAAGGCACATAGTGCAGATGTAAGCCAAGGCAAGTCAAGGCTACACCTGTATGAGGTCCATTGAAGTCCACGCAGAGCTGATCACCACAGTGCTGGAAAAAGACACAGGTGAGGCTGAGAGGAATAAAGGTGGCACATAGGATATATCTAATACTTGCCTCAAATTTTCCATGTTATAATTGCACTAACAACTGAGCATTTCCATTCCACTTTTGTCAAGCATATAGATAATAAGGTGGAAGGTATCTTACATTCATTGTGTTCCTGTGCTGCTCTCGAGAAATAAATAGGCCCAAGGGCAGAGCCTGTTTCTCTTAACTCAGTAGATCTCAGCAAGCCTGATCTTAGCAAGCCCTGAACCATGCAACTTCCTGTTATTGAGATTGAATAGGTGAAACAAAGGGAAAGCACAGTACTTAGAAAATACAAAATAAGGTGGCAGGAATGAGCCAAATATATCAGGAATCACAATTAATGTGAATTGAGGTTAAACTAATCTGTTAATGACAACTTTCAGTTTGGAGTTAGAAATCTAATTGTATACTGTTGACAGAAGAGATACCTAAAATAAAATTACAACAGGAGGCTAAAATAAAGGAATGTAAAAAGAACTATCAGGTAAATGCTAACAAAAAGAAACTGGAAAAGCAATATTAATATCAGACAAAATAGAATCCAAGATGAAAAGCATTTCAAAGGACAAAAAAATATGTTATATTAATAAGGGAGATTGCGTAGGAAAATAAAGAAAATGTAGGCCACTGGAATGCTTAGCACCAACAACATATAATGTCGTTGGTGTTTAGCTAACTTTAAGGATGCTATTTCATTCTCTTATGTTTGATACATACCCATCTCAGCCAGCTTCAAGTTGTTCTTTGACCCTAATGGACTCTCCAACATTGTAATTTCTAAAGATCTTCAGATTCTATTATACTTCTGTAAGTAATTGTTAAACTATCTAGCGTTGGAAGCCAAGCAACTTCTAGAATAACTAAGCAATAGAGAATATACTTCGGTGTAGAGAGGCAATATCTATATGAGATTATGGGATTGTTGTTCCTTTTTTTGTTCATTGAAAAAATAAGTAACACTGTAACTTTCAGAAAAATGATTCTACATAAGAAAACCCAAAGCACCTAAACAATTGGAATAAATAAATAACTATAGAAAGGTTGCTGGATACAAAGTTGACATACAAATATCAATTAAATATCTATATACCAGCAACAATTAGAAAATGATTTTTGTAATAGCATAAAAAATTAAATGCTTAGGAATAAAAGTAAAAAAAAAAGATGCCAAGAACTCTACACAAAAACATATGAGACATTATTGAGAAAAATTAAGGAAGACCTAAATAAATGAGTGGATAGACCATGTTCATAAGTTGAAGCATACAATATAGTAAATATATCAATTCTTTCCTAATGTATTCAATGCAATACCAATCAAACCCCCCAGCATGCTTTATTTTTGGTGGTGAAGGGGCAGGATTGATAAGCTAATTCTAAAATGTATATGTAAATGCAAAGGGCTGAGGATAGCCAAGACAGTTTTAAGGAAGAATAAAATTGTAGTATTTACGTTACCAAATAGCAAGACTTATTATAGAGTTACATTAATGAAGACAGTATGGTATTGACACAAGGATAGATGAATAGATAAATGGAACACTGTAAAATGTTCAGAAACACACCTGCACATATATGGAGGCTTGATTTATAACACAGCTGCCACTGTAGTAAAGTAGGGAATGCTTGGTATTTTCAGTAAATAGTGATGGATCAATTACATATTCATATGGGGAAAAATGCATCTAGATACCTACATCACATCATATACCATAGTCAATTCCAAGTGGACTAAAGATATAAATATGAAATATAAAACAATAGATTTTTATATTCAGGATCTTGGGGTAAGCAAAAATTTCCTAAACAGAATATAAAAAGTATTCACCATAAAGGGAAAGATTAATAAAGTGGACTATATTAAAACTAAGAACCCCTGTTCAGTAAAAGACACTATTTAGAGTAAAAAAGCAAGTCTCAGAGTGAGGCAAGATATCTGCAATACATATATCTAACAACTGAAACTCTCATACACTGGTAGAAGGAATTTAAATTTGTATAATCATTTTAGAAAACTGCTTGGCAGTATGTACTATACCTGAACATATGATCCAATAATTCTACTCATAAGTATAAATCTAATAAAAATGCATGCTTATGTGCTTATGTCACTCAAAGATACAAATAAGAATGTTCATTACAGCATTATATATAAGAGCCAAAACCTGGAAACAAATATATATCAACAATAGAATGGGTGAATAAAAGTTATAATGTTAATACAATGGAATACTATACAGCAATGTAGATAAACTACTGCTATACAAAACAGCATGGATGACTCTTACAGACAAAATGTTAAATGAAAGACACAGAAGAGTACATATTGTGAGCTTCTATTTATATCAAGTTCATGAACTGGCAAAACTATTCACTGTGTTAGAAGTCTGAACAATAGTAACCTATGAAAAAGAGATAGGATAGAATGGGAAGGGAATTAAAAGAATTTCTGGAGTGTTGAGAATGTGTTATGTATTGATCAGATTAGCATTTAAACAGGTGGGTTTTCTTTATGAACACATACTAAAGTTTTGTGTACTTTTCTGAACATATATTGTTTTTAAAAATAGGTTTTTTTATTGCAGCCCATGATTTAGTGAAAGTAGAGTACCCAAACATTTAGTTTTATATCAAATCAAATATAGTGCTACCATCATTTTATCCCTTATTAAGAATTTTATTCTACTTTTCTTTCCACTCTTAGCTCAAGACTCCCAATTTTCTCTCCATGAATGCCCCTAGCTTTTATTTGACCCATACATGAGCCAGTAGTTTCATGTACTTTTTAGAAATGCATATTAAATGGTGCTATGACTGTTGATTTTGCTTCCTTTTAGATGCATCATGCAGCATTAAGAATGGCAGATGCAAGCAGTTTTGTAAAAAGAGTGCAGATAACAAGGTGGTTTGCTCCTGTACTGAGGGATACCGACTTGCAGAAAACAAAAAGTCCTGTGAACCAGCAGGTCAAAATCTGAATAAGTTTTTTGTAAAAGAAAATCTGTATTTGAGCCTTCAGCATTTTAACTAGCCTACATAATTTTAATCTCTACTTCTACCTATTTCCTTTTGCAATCATAGAAAAGATTAGTAGCTTGAATTGGATGAATTAATTTTCCAAATTGCACCATTATTTTAAACATAAATTATGTAATTATCTACAGCCTAAATTCTTCTGTGTCCAATTTTTTCTTTAAATTCATATCACAAAGCAATTGATTTATGTGATTTCTGCATGCATATTTGTAAATTCATCATATCAAATTAATGTGGTAATACTATACCACAAAATATACATAAATAATTGAATGAGTGATAGGCTTTTAGTACAAGGGTGGTGAATTTTTTTTTTTTTTTCGTATTAACTGATCAACACCTAGAGGGTAGTGAATTTTAAGCATTGTTCTGTCAGGGCCTGGCTAGTTTACTCTGAGAAAGTTATTTCCTATCTTTGGGACTCCAGCTGAGTTTACACACTTGGTATCAGTATGGTTCCAGCAACTGTTTTAAGTTCTGCTAGGCTGATTAGTACAGTCTAAACAGCAGTAGACAAAGCAATGTTTCCCAGTTATGTCAACCATGCAACCAAGCCACCAACCATGCTAATTGGTGTATTCAAAGCATCTCCACTCCATGTTCATATGGCTCCTCTCTGAAGACAAGAAGAGTAGAAACTTTGATTTTAAAAAATAGGCTCTGCAGGATCAACTGTTTTTGATAAATGAGGGGCCTTTATGAAGGAAATTAGATATAATTTGTTTTGCTTTTCCAAAGCCTGATCTCTTATTAAATTGATACATTAAATCATGCACCATCCCTCTGTCCCTGGGTTTGATACCTATCGTAGCGCCACACCAGGTGGAGGAAATTAAAGAACTAGAAGCCAGAAGTACACGTTACAACTAAAATTAAGAGTTTCTAATGCTTTAGGGCTTGCCCACCTGTCCTTCTGCCTAGTTCTTCACATATACTGCCTTAAAGCTAGCCTACCTTGGGAGGAGTATGTGTGCGTATTTGTTAACCTTTAAAACCTAGCTTCCAGTCTAGACAGATGGCATAATAGCTAAACCATTACAAGCCCTTCTATTTTATGAGAGAAAAATTGAGAACCACCTCCAACTATTAAGTGTTATATTTCAATACAGACTTAGCTTTAGCAGAATAAGTAGGCCAAACCTGAAATAAGCTTTTCTGCCTCTTCAACGATAATGGTCCCTTTTCTCTAGCCATTGTTGATCATGTATATTTATACATAAGTATTTTGAACTAATTTCCTGTTTTCTTAACCACATGCTGTCTTCATGATACTTTGCCACAGCTGGTTGCTATGGAAATGTCTGTTATAAGGAATGTGGCTGAAGGAAAGTGAGAAATGAAAACGAAATGTGAAGTGACTTTGACTACAAATTTCCTTTTTGGTAGTCCCCAATATATCAGTGGATGATTTATTTTCTTTAGAAAATAAACCAGCCCAAGGAGAAAAGGTGACCAGGTCCTGGTGAATATGGCTGTGATAATCATATTAGTGTTCTATTTGGTTAATATTTGACAGCCAGGTAATCGAATCACTATTATCTCTCCCAACAAATACCTAAAATCCACCCTGGAATCTAGAATTCTAGCCTACACAAGAACCCCTGTTAATGATAAACAGAAGTCCCATTTACCTAATTCTAAAATTAAGGTTACAAGGTACCAATCATCAGACTTCCAACTCAGGGATGACAATTGGGAGTAAGATGTTTTAGTGAAGAAACTAAAGAGAAAGTCATTAGATACTATAAAAGTCTTACCAAATTTGATTCCGGAACACCTATTCTATTTCCGTAAAGATGATGAATTCCGGAGCCAAATGTTCTTTTCATGAAGGGTTTGAAAACTTTCCACAAAAATAATGCAATCAACCTTTTAGTTTGAGGCTATATTTGCTGATTAGATCTCTTAAAAATATTGATGGGCCTGCTTCTCAGAAGTGACAAGGATGGGCCTCATTTTCAATTTTTATGATACATGTCCCATTTTCCAATGAGAAATACTGGAATACTAATTTTTTTTCTATTTTTCTAGTGCCATTTCCATGTGGAAGAGTTTCTGTTTCACACACTTCGAAGTTCACCCGTGCCGAGACTATTTTTTCCAATATGGATTATGAAAATTCCACTGAAGTTGAAACAATTTTGGATAATGTCACTGAAAGCACTCACTCACCTCAAGACATCACTCGGGTTGTTGGTGGAGAAAACGCCAAACCAGGTCAATTCCCTTGGCAGGTACTTTATATTGATGGTGTGTTGAAAATGGAGCTCAGCTGGCAAGGGCAGGCCAGGTGGGAGACTGAGACTAGGACACTAAACAGACCTACCAAAGAGAGAAGTATTTAGGCAAGTTTCAGCACTAAGCAATATGAGAAAGCCCCCATAGGTGACAAGCTGGTGAAAGAGAAGTCCAAAACTCACTACCATACGTGGGTCAAAAAGGGTTTGCCATCAAGGAAATAATATAGCAGGATTCCAGTCAAGCAACTGGTCAGCAATATGGAGGTTTGGAAGAAGGGTCGCAGCTACTGGAGTTCAGGGTACTATTTCAGCTTCAGACCTTGGGAAAACTGAAGAGAGTTGGAAAGTCTCTAGGCTCAGAGAAACTGGATTATTTTGAAGAAAAGAAAAGGACTCAACTAAGAAGGCTTAAGACAAGAACTAAGTTCTGTGAACCAGGATCTCAGATAGGGGCTTGTTCCACAGCTGTGGTTCTCAAAGTGTGGCAGCATCAGAATCACCTGGGGACTTATTAGGAATGCAAATTCTCAGGCTCCACCCCCAGACCTAATGAATCAGAATCTCTGGGTAGATCCCAGCTGTGTGCAAACAAGCTCTGCAGGTGATTCCAATGCAAACTACAGTTTGAAAACCACTGGTCCCAAAGGAAATAAACTTGTTACAGAAGCCAGGGTCTAAAACATCAAATAATGGACTCATGGTACCTAGTCCTCCAAGTGTGGTCAGCAAATAACCCACATATGAAGAATTCCCTATGCACAGTTTTGATTTAACGACCAAGAGCTAGATTTGTAGCAAAATCTGGGTTGTAATTGAGCCTGTTTGCATTTGTAAGAAGGAATAGCAATTCACCGCCCCACAAGACAAGGAACCAAGGCTAGTCCTTATATAAAGTTGTGCTGTCCAATAGGTAACCACTAGCCACATATAGTTATATAAATTTAAATTAACACAATTAAATTAAAAATTCAATTCTTCAATTGCATCTGTCACATTTCAAGTACATAGCAGCCACATGTGTTTAGTGGCTACCGTATCGGACAATGCAGGTATAGAACACTTCCTTCACTGCAGAAATTTCTATTGGACAGCAACCATCTAACTTAAAACTCCCTAGTGGCCACAATCATGATTTCATAGCAATGAAATATAAGTAAATATAAGTGTGCAGTGAAAAGGACATGAAAAGATTTGAAATGACGTGCATCATTTATATCTTCTTCCTCACAGAACAAATGCAACTACAATCTAATAGTGTATTCTGTTCAAAAAGAAAATAAAATGTCTGCTAGAGTCACTAAAAAATTCTTTTAGAGGCCAGGCGCGGTGGCTCACGCCTGTAATCCTAGCTCTCTGGGAGGCCGAGGCGGGCGGATTGCTCGAGGTCAGGAGTTCAAAACCAGCCTGAGCAAGAGCGAGACCCCCGTCTCTACTATAAATAGAAAGAAATTAATTGGCCAACTAATATATATAGAAAAAATTAGCCGTGGTGGCACATGCCTGTAGTCCCAGATACTTGGAAGGCTGAGGCAGGAGGATTGCTTGAGCCCAGGAGTTTGAGGTTGCTGTGAGCTAGGCTGACGCCATGGCACTCACTCTAGGCTAGGCAACAAAGCGAGACTCTGTCTCAAAAAAAAAAAAATCTTTTAGGGAAGACCTGCATTGTTAAAACATTGGCAACATCGGGATTAAAGGGGGTGGGTGGGAAACAGAGATTATGTGACTAAATTGAGACTTTATACCCTCTCCCCTTTTTAGCTCTCATTTAGGGGACATTTAGCTTGTCATTTGTGGGACCACAAGGGGACAATGCTAAATCCAAAATGCATATATCCTGAAATTTTTTAAAATCCTGGGATGTTTTAAAAGATAAGTCATCTTTTTAGCTAATAATACACTCCTGGGTTCCTGGCTCCTCTACTCCAAGAACTAACTCTATGTCCCACAAACCCAAGGAAGATAATTGTCATAAAGTAGGATCTTTTGTTGTAACCATCTTATCAATGAAAGTTGGATACATAGTGAATATGCATGAGAACACAAATGACCAAATTAGATGGATTAGATACATGGATATTAAGTATATTGAGAGCATAATTAGAGTGTTTGCACCCAAGAGGGATTGTTCAAGGAAAGGTCAGTGGAGAGGGTCAATCTTACAGAGAGTTTTCTTTAATCTTTACTTAAAGAAAAGTAAAGATGTGAATGAGTGAAGGAAGGGGTTATTATGGTGGGTGAGGGAAGCAGCCCTGGTAGGGTGCACTTAATTAGGGACAGAGGGGGTTATAAAGGGACATAGAATTATATTTTACTGGCTATAAGATCAAGTCCAACAAATAGTGTTTTCTAAAAAAAAACAAATGTAAAAGAAAGGAAAATATCAAGTCTTGGTTGTGTGGTGGCAGAAGCCACCCTTTGATGCCATTGTCCATACTGCCTGTGCAAATTCCCCCATCCCTAGGTATGTTTAATACCTTACATCCATTATACTGGAAAATGGCAAGCATTCTGAATAATCCTGGAGAGATACATAACTAGTCCCAGAAAATTTCAGCTAAACCTGGGGACATTGACCTGTTCCTGGCTTAAATTGTTTCCAGTTTGATGATTACAAAGTGTTTCAAGCTATCAGTCTCTGATGGCAGAAGTTCAAATCTCAGTGGAGAAAATATTTTGAAGTGAAGTATCCTTGAAATTGCTATGAAATCATGATGGTGGCCACTAGAGAGTTTTAACTTAGATGGTTGCTGTCCAATAGAAATTTCTGCAGTGATGGAAGTGTTCTATACCTGCATTGTCCAATACAGTAGCCACTAGCCACATGTGGCTGTGTGTTGTCTTTTTTTCTGTCCAGCCTAGCTAAGATCATTTGGAATGTACAAGATCACTCATATACATGTGTGCACACATGCACATGTACATACACATTCACTCCCTATTTCATCCATATGAACTAAGATTACTGACTTTTTGAAGTACAAAGCACTAGGTTATATTCTTTTCCAAAGACAAGGAGCTGAGCTACTTTCTAGAATAGTTGAGAAAGGCCCTATCATACTTCTGCATTGTTTCCTCCAAACCACTTCCACTCAGTTCCTCACGAAGGTTACTGGTTTTCAAAAACATGAAACAAACTGAGTGTGCAAAAGTCACTTTTAAACCATGAAACAGGAAATGAAACAAATCAGAATCTCTCATTATCTGTGGATGAGCCAGCTCCACCAAGTCATAGTTCATCTGTAAGGAGGAAATACAGGATTTGATTGCAAACAAGACCATAACAAACCTGCTGTGGCCAAGGCATCAAGAGAAAGCAAACCCCAACTGGCGTTTCAGAGTCAAAATATTATATATCTGGCTCTGAAATATGAAATACTATTTAGCAATACTATTTTCACCTAGAAAAGAGTATTTAAAAATAGTGATCCTAAAAGTCTCTCTATTCAGAATTGATTATTTTATCTTTTAAATTGGCAAGGGTGGAAGATAAAGCAATCAGTGAGTGAAGAAATCCCACAAAGAACATAGAGACTTCACGTTCATCTGGAGTAATGAACAATTTGAACAAACTGGAAATGTTTAGTCTGTTAAAGAAAAGGTTTAGGGGAGCCATTTGCAAGAGCCACAGGGGGAAGGGGAAGACGACTTCTTTCTTTTGTGGACTCAAGGGTGAAGGTTGCAGGCAGGCAGATTCTGGCCATGTTAAGAAAGCCCCAACCACTGGGTTGGTTACCCAGGCTGGGCAGCTCCGGAGCAAATGTTAGTTGAACAAATGTTTGTCAGAGTTGTTGACTTGAAGAACTGTTCTGTCACTGGGGACAGCAGCGGCTGGATAGCCCCATCCAGGGAGAGTGTGAAGGGCGTTCATTGACCTGGTGAAAGATTAGAGCAGGCTAGGGGACCGCTGGGATCCCATGGAGTTTCAAGACCCTACGAAGCAATGTTCGCCTTCCACCTAGCCCGTCAGCGGTCGCGCTCATTCCTTACCTCATTTTAGGGCTTCCACCTCAGCTTGCCGGGCTGGAGGCGAGGGCCACCGCAGCACAGCGTCCCAGGAGCCCCTTACAGTTCCGGAGCGGCGTCGCCCACCCCAGCCTGGCTCCAACCCCTGAAAGGCAAAGGCGCATACAGTCCTGCCCAGTCCCTAACCATGAAGGGTTGTCAGAGAGCCTGAGATACCCCAGCGGAGCGGGGCATGGGGCCAACCGGAGGAGGTATGGCCTTCGGTTTCCCTCCAGATGCCCGTCGGTGAGCTCAGAGTTCCTTGAGAACTTGAGGAAAGGAAGCAGAGACACTTCAGGAGGAGAAAGAGGAAGCTGGAGGGTTAGGCGCACCATACAGGGACAAAAAGAAGATTTTCTTAGAGTTAGTATATCTTCAGCAGAGTGGGAAACTAAAACAAGAATTGAATTTCGTACAGCTAAAGAGGGAAGAAATGAAAACTTTTGAACATTAGTGAAACTAGGGAAATTGCAACACCTGTATTACCTTCATCAACAGCTAAAAAGTGAGAGATTTGAGGAAACAACGCCGTGTTTCAGCTCTTTAAAGCTTTCATTTGGTTTTGGTCCCATGCTCATGACCTTGCCATCTGATTATTCTGCGCCTATGCCCAGAATCTTGGCCCCAAGAACAACTCCCATGTTTTCTGCTTTGGAAGACCTGTCTAGCCCTCTATGTGAAGTACCTGCTCTTTCTATTTTCTGTTTTACCATGGGCCTCAGTTCTGTGTGAGACATATCTATTCTACATTTGAAGATCATTCTTCTAGATTGAAAAAAGGAATACAATGGAAGTCAAGTGGTTTTCCTTATCCTTAGGTTATATCATATGCATTACCCAATATTTAACGGTTTTAACCTACAGAAAATATCCTAAGAAACAGTCTATTCCTTATTCAATTCTTGGCCTAAACAATCTTTAAAATGTGCTAGCATTTTCCACAGTCTTGGCTTCCTTCAGCTTTAGCCTGAAGCTATAATGTCCCTGAGCTCTTGCCCTGTAGAGCTAGATACACAGATCTGATCCCTTACATTTGATTAGGACACACCCCAGTGGCAGTCAGCATACCAAGTTACCATATGCATGAACCAGAACTTTATTTTTCTTGGGAGGGGGCGGGTATTACATGAGGCTTCTAAGACTATAGAAGTATCAGCACTTAAAAAAGGTAACCCTCTATTATTCCTAGCTCAGATGATAAAATTCCAATTAGGAGAAATAAGAATATGACATATATAATCTTGCCTGGGCCCACAAAGCTATTTTGGACAGAACAGTCAGACTGTTAACCTCAAAGATTATTCAATGAAACATATTTCAATAACTAGTTAACCATTAAAAACCGAAGTGAGCATCCCCTCTGTGCACAGCAAAATGACCCAGGGTCAAGGGCTGGGCAAACCATACCTGCGGGCATAACAAACTGTACAACATGCACAAATGGTTTTGTCTTGTGTCTGAGAAGAAGCAAACATAGAAAAAGTGTTATTGTAAAGCTGGGGCTGGTAGGTAGGGAGAATAGGGGTTTTACTGAAATCACATGGAAAGACTGGGTTGGAGTTAAAGGTTGGGAGGTGAGCCACAGGGCAACACCTATTGCTCTGAGCTGGCATTGTCAATGCAGAGCATAAATACAGATGTGTGATTGTGTATTTTGTAGATGTTATATGTGTGTGGCTGGTTTGTATATATGTGTGTCTAAAAGAGGGAAAACAGGCTCCTATTAGACTTTGACAAACATAAAAAATGTTCAACACATCAGAACTCATATGCCTTGCTCAGAACATATACTCTTCCATTTTCCCCATCATTCTCCAAAGTGATACCTTGCAAGAACTTGTCCTTGGTTAAGTAGACAGTTCATCCCCCAAATGGCTAATATTTAGATATCTGTGGTCCTGAGGTAGCCAAACAAATATTCCCAAACCAAGTAGTTTGTAATATCTTTAAATGCAAATATATTTTAGGTCTTTTTCTTGGCAAAGATGTTCAGTAAAGTTTCTAATACCAATCAGTAATTGGCAAAAAAAAAAAAAACAACAACAACAAAAAAAAACCAAATGCTCTTCAGACTTAAAAGAATGCAACCATATTTCTCAGCCATCTACCAGAAAGCAGTAGAAGCTAGAAGCTCCAGGCAACAAGTCTTTGGCAGGAGTCAGACTAGCTCTGTCATAGTCTCTGTGCCCAGGGGCTGTGGATATCATTCAATCTGGCCTAACTAGCTCACTAAGTTGAGCAATGTCCAATTCCCCCCTAATACAGTGGGCCAGAGGAGAAGCAGCATGATATCATCACATGTGAATTCTTAATTCCAGTTGCTTAAACAGATACATCCAGTTGTAACTATCAGGACTAGCATAGAACAGTGTTACCCAAATTTGCTTGGTGATAAAAATCAGCTGGGATCAGGGCCAACCACATGGTCTTATCACCAGTGCACTTGCCCAGGGCTCTGCACTGAGAAGAGTCGCACATCTGGGGATCAATGCTTTTGCATTTTTGCTCGGTAACTCAAGTCCAATGAGACAACAGAGCATGTGATAGAGACTTGGAACCTCGGATCCTGGCAGTCCCACCTCTCCCTGCCTGCCAGGGGTAGTTTCTGCACCTTCTACTCCCTTACCCCCTGGTGCCTCAGCCAGCTCTGCCTCTCCCTCCACACCTGCCCAATGACATGACCTCTGCCATCCTTGGTGACCAGAAATATTCCACTTCTTGGTCCCTACCCAGCTACCATTGCTGCCCTCCTCCCCTGGTTGGGGGCCTGGGCACAGGCACACAGAGGGTTAAGATCTGGTGCACAAGTCCTTCTGCTAACTTGGGAGGGGGAATGGCCTCATGGCATCATCTCTGCACCAGGAATGTGCCACAGCACATTTGGAGGGTGAATGGTGGGGGCGAGTCTCTTTCCCAGCTCCATTCCAGGTATGGAGCACATCTTGGCATGGAAGTTGCAATCCCTTGGGAATCACCTCTCTACCTTGATTGCTGCAGTAGGTCAGTGGCAAAGAACAGATTGACTTAACCTCCACTGCTGGGGCCCAGCATCCTGTGGCTGGCAGGTAGGGAATCCTAAGGGGGTATAGGTGCTAAATTACAGGGTACACCCCCAGGCACCTTTGAGGGTCTGCGCTCTCTCAGCACATATCCCCATGCTAAAGGAAGCACAACATTAAATATGAAATTTTTTGAAAAATAGTTGTAAGCGAGACCACCAAGGAAAAGAAAAAGTTTTATATTTTACTGTTTTCAATGGCACTTTTTTCCTGGCTTTTGAACAAAGGACCCCACATTTTCATTTTTTACTGAGCCTCACAACGTATGTAGCCCATCCTGCCTGGAGTGAGCACTTTACCAAGCCTTGGAAACTCTGATTCAGTAGGTATTTAACAGTTCTCAAACTCAATTATGCATAAGAATATTCGGGGGGGGGGCTTCATTTTCCCCAGTCCCACCTAACAAACACTCTGATTATCTAAGTCTGGATAAGCCCCCAAATCTGCATTTTACAAACAACTCAGATGATTCTACTACAACTGATCCAGAGACCACACTTGGACAGATGCTGGGTATCTAGGAGCACAAATTCTGGAGTCAGGAAGATTTCGGTTTACATCCTGGCTTCACCATTTACTAATCTTAGAGGAGTTAATGTGTATCTCTAAACCTTAGTTCCTTCATCTATAAAGGATATATTAATGTCACACCATAGGATATTAGGTTGTGAGTATTAAAATGTCTATAAAGCACTTACTACAATGATCAGCCCTAAATATACACTCAATAAATGTTAAAAAAAAAAATTAGGAAGACTGTTAAGTCTGGCTTGTATTCACGCTGATGTTTATTATATTATGTGGGTTTTTGTATATTTTAATAACTTTTCAAAATAAAAAGCTACAGCTAGTTAGAAAGGGAGATCTAGAATATGAAAAAGGAAGTCAGACACCTAAAATGAGTCAGCCCCAAAGGTCTTCCCCAGGAGGCTAGTGTTTCAGTGTCTAGGATGTAATAGGTGTTCAGTAAGTTGAATTTGGGACAAAAGAATGTGCCCCAAGGACCATCTCTGATGCGCACTTTAAAGGTTTGACCGCCTCCTTTCCATTGTTTATGAATGGCTTTATACCTAGGGCTATGTGTGCTTTGGTAAAAGGGCAGAAGTTCAGGAAGAGCTAGTCCGCTGCTGAAAAGGGTTTACTGAATGTTGAGTGTGCCCTCTAGTGTTCACACTTCTCAGCTTCCTTCCTAAAAAGGTGGATCAAGGCTCTTGCTTACACTCAAAACTGAAATCCTCCGAGTTGATCAAGATATTGAGGTAGTGAAAATATTCATTGTCCCTGCGATTATGCAATGAATATACAGTGAAAGGAATGAATTGTCCTCCTATCTGATGATGTCCACTTTGCCCAAAACTCAAGCACAGCTAAGTAGATCTTTTAGGAAAAAGACAACTTACTATCCAGCCAGAAGGGAGTAGAATACGGCTAAGGGAGAGTGGAAGGGATGCCTGAGTCCTGCTGTTCCTCACTGAATGGATGACTATAAGCACAGCCCTTACGGAGGCCTTAGGTCTTATTTCATAATATTCCAGTTTAGAAAGGGTTTGAAAAGACCTTTGAGAAAAATCAGCAGTTTTTCTCTTTCAAGTGACCTGTAGCAAAGAGATTTCCTCATGCAAGAACAGGAGACTCAATCAGTCTTGAGGAGTCAAGTCAGTGTGTTTTCTATTTTTTTTTTTGAGGCAGAGTCTCAGTCTGTTGCCTGGGTTAGAGTGCTGTGGCATCAGCCTAGCTCACAGCAACCTCAAACTCCTGGGCTCAAGCGATCCTCCTGCCTCAGCCTCCCTAGTAGCTGGGACTACAGGCATGCACCACCATGCCCAGCTAATTTTGTCTATATGTATTTTTAGTTGACCAATTAATTTTTTTATATTTTTAGTAGACACAAGGTCTAGCTCTTCCTCAGTCTCATCTCGAGCTCCTGAGCTCAAACCATCTGCCCACCTCAGCCTCCCAGAGCGCTAGGATTACAGGCATGAGCCACCACACCCACCAAGTCAGTGTGTTTTCTAATGTACCTGCCATATCTCCATGAAGGAATTTGTGCTACTAGAGAATCTGCCTCGCCTAGAAAAGAGATCCAAGGGCCCCAAATCACCAAAAGAATCCATTCTTCAGATTTGGCTCAGCTGGAGCTCCCCTGTCTCTCATTGTGTGTTCTCTTCAAGACAGTTACAGAAATGGCTTTTTTGGTGGTGCTCCAGATACACTAATTCATCTGCAAAACTGCTACTTTCCAGAAACATTCCATTTCTGCCAGCACCTAGAAGCCATCTTTTTTGACCACTCCTGTAACCAGCACACATATTTATTTTTTCTGGATCAAACATATTATACAGTAAGATTCTTAATTTTGTTTCCACAGGTCATTTTGAATGGTAAAATTGATGCATTCTGTGGAGGTTCCATTGTTAATGAAAAATGGGTCGTAACTGCTGCCCACTGTATTGTACCTCCTGTTAACATTACAGTTGTTGCAGGTAAATAAACAGAAACTATAATCATCTGCAGCATCACTAGATCTTCTATATGATTGGTACATCATAGTTTACTATCTAATAGGAATGTTGCTGAATAAACTGGGCTAGTGGTAGAAGGGCTACAATTTCAAAACCTAACTTGCTCCATCCTCCAAGCTCCCATAATTCTTTGGGGATACCCATATTATCACTCATCTGAGTGGGGTACAATTAGTTATTAATGTTTCCATTTCCCCACCAGACTAAGCCTTCTCAAAAGCCAGTGTCATGTCACTGACCTTTGTACCTCTGGTGCCTGGCACAACCTGTAGCAGGTCCTCAGCCAGCATTTGAATTAATGACCAGATGAATTTGTGCTCAGAAAGTGGGTCAGACTACTTGAAATGGGGAAAATCTAGAATAATTCATGACAAGTAGATTCATTACCACCAATGTAAGACTTGTAACAGCATAGCTGAACAGAATCATCTCTATGATGGCCCCAAATGGCTTTTGGTCTGAAAAATATGCACTGGCCCTCATTACATTTTACTTAAATCATCACAATATAAGATTGAGATCTTTGACATTGCCAGTTAGATCAGTGATGTTGAGTAGACACTTGGAAAATCTGTTCCTTTATGTAAATGACTTTTCATGACTGAAAATAAAATTTATTTTCAATAGGTGAACATGACATTGAGAAGACAGAACCTACAGAGCAAAAGCGAAAAGTGATTCGAGTTATTCTTCACCACAGCTACAATGCAACTGTTAATAAGTACAGCCATGACATTGCCCTTTTGGAACTGGATAAACCCTTAACCCTAAACAGCTATGTAACACCTATTTGTATTGCAGACAGGGAATACACAAACATCTTCCTCAAATTTGGATCTGGCTATGTGAGTGGCTGGGGAAGAGTCTTCCACAGAGGGAGATCAGCTTCAATTCTTCAATACCTTAGAGTTCCATTTGTTGACCGAGCCACGTGCCTTCGGTCCACAAAGGTCACCATCCATAATAACATGTTCTGTGCTGGCTACCATGAGGGAGGTAGAGATTCATGTCAAGGAGACAGTGGGGGACCCCACATTACGGAAGTGGAAGGGACCAATTTCTTAACTGGAATTATTAGCTGGGGTGAAGAGTGTGCAATGAAAGGCAAATATGGAATATATACCAAGGTATCTCGGTATACCAACTGGATTAAGGAAAAAACAAAGCTCCCTTAAAGAAGAATGTATTTCCAAGGTTGATTCATTGGGATTGACAATGGACAGGGCCTTTTACTAACTAATCACTTTCCCATCTCTTGCTAGATTTGAATATATGCATTCTATAAATAGTGCCTTTTCTCTTTACAGCAGAGAATTTCACCTAGAATTCATGTTTTACTAGAGTAAATAGATTAGAAAATGGAATCACTAGAGAAATATAATATAATAGGAAATAATGACCATTCCTATGGGCCCAACCCTTGACAAAATTGTGAAGTTAAGTTCTCCACTTTGCCCATCAGGTACTCTGGTTCTCCACAGTGGCAACTCACCTGATTCTCCTCTTTCGAAGCATTCCATGTTCTGGATCTTCCTTGCCTCTCCCACCAAAATATCAATAGTTACTAGTTCTGTATACAAAATCTTTAGTCCGTCACAAGGCCAGCACCACTTTCATAAAGGAAGAACACAGGAGCAGCTAACAGGTTAAAACTCATCAAAAGCACCACTTCTTTTCCTGTACCTTTATTCCTGAGTCCTTTATCTTTTCCAACTCCCAATTCCCAAATCAGTTTTTCTCTTTCTCAACCGCTTTCTCCCCTTTTCCCTCCACAGTTATTAAAGGGGGGAAAGGGAGCATCATGTTTTACTCTTGTACACAGTTATACATGTCTATCAAACCCAGACTTACTTTCAGTTTGATCTCAGACTTGCTTTTCAGAACATGGGGATGAAGTCCAGTGCCTGAAGAATTCGGCGGGAAGTTCCTTTCAGAGAGTTAAGTTAGTGAGTTATATATGTGTGTTAGGAAGACATTTCACATTTCATAAAATGTAATATATGTGTTTCAATTAAGAAATCTGACATTGATCCAGGTATATTGTCCTGTCTGAAAAAAATAATGCTAACAGAAAGAAGAAGACAGTCAAGTTTGCAACCTAGAACTAGTAGAATCTTCAAAGAGGAGTTCAACAGTGTGTTTCTAGCATTTTCCAGGGCCAACCAAAAAGTTGCCTAGACCAGAGGCCATGAGCATCATGTCTCCTTGACCAGCATACTTCTGCAGTGGAGAAGGGTGCAGTCAACTCAAGGACATGAATCATTCTGATCAGCCAACTTAAATCTCTGTTTTCTGGTTTCATGCTCAATGAGGAACTTTTTGATTATAATCAATCCTTCTATCTTGAATTTTCTAGATGGTTGCTGACCAACCAACATATGTCTCCCTTCTTGAATTAATAAACTAGTGTCCTGGTTCATGCTTTCACTTTTTGTGAATTTGGGCAATGTGAATCAGTCACCCTGCATTTAATGGTGCATGGGACTACTAGAAAAATCATGTTTTGGACCACTTTGACCCCACCAAGCTGTGCTTTCCCCTGCCCCCTTCTAACCCCCAGCCAGCCTTCGCTCTTGCTGATTTCTTTAAAGTTCTTCTAGTTAATATTGTTTTTTTACTTTAGTCTTTCAAACATAAGTATCAATAAATGTATTTTTAAATTTCTTGAAGCGTTTCTTGTTAAATCATTCAGAGAGGTATTCCAAACACTACATTCAGCAAAACAATCAGAAGAATGTACTCAAATTCAACACAAGCAGAGATTTAATGCTCTGTTATCATCTGGCTTTCCTGTGAGGCAGTGGGAGTTGTGTATTGCAGAGGAAAGTGGTCTGGATCCACCTGGGACATAACTGGATCTAACTAGCTGTGAGTATGCCCTTGGATAAGTCACTCTCCATTTGGGAATGTGCTTTCTCCATTTGTATAATGAAGGAGTTTGATACGATGCTCTCCAAAAACGTTTGTGATTTTGATAGTCTGTGATTTCATGGGGTTTTTATTCCTTTATTCAACAAATATCCAAGGAGTGATTACTGTGTGCCAAATACCAATAATGTTCATTAAATTTGAATTCACATTTATATTTTGGGGAAATTAAATAATGTATGTAAATTGCTTTGTCAGTGCCTACTACACTACCACACAGTAGTTGCTCAATGAATGTTCGCTGAATCTGAATCTATGTTTATCCCACAGTAGCAATTAGTCTTGCATTGAGTATCATGAAAGAAGGCCATACTTAAATAAATATAATGCCTAGAGTTTATGTCTCATGAACAAATGAAAGAAATCAGTTCTGTTGGCTGAAGGAAGGAAAAAGAGAGGAGATACTATAATTGTCTGCCTTAGGTTTAAGGAGGATGCTAATGCATGATAAAAACATGTTACTTCGAATTTGAATAACTAAAGGTCTGTAGCCCCAGAGCTCTGCAGTTGGTAAAAGTGAGATGCTCTGGCTTTGTTGCCATAGAGACCACCCCTTACAAAGGCAGCACTGGGGAACTGGCCTCACACCTTCCGTGATTGGTCTTCCTTGTGGCAGAGGGAGGAGCTTCTGGCCCATAAATCTCTGAGCCACAGATCTCCTTTTTCCCATGGGGTCAAAAATGACTGAATTCACCATGAGCCACCTGCGGCTTGTTGCCACAACTAAACATGTGGGGCCTTTAAATTCACCTACAAGCCAGTGACTTCAGAGCCATTCACTGGCTGGATTCTACTTAAAGCATTTACAGTCACCATGAAAGAATTATTAGTGCTTTCAAAATCACTGTAGCTCCTTAGTCTAAATGGGTTGAAACATGCTGCTGTAATATTGGAAGTGACAGATGAAAATAGAACTCTTGCTGAGTGAAGGAAAGTGTGTTACTATAGTGCAGTCATTTTAACTTGCTGTTTAATTGTTTCTGGTTCTTTTGAATATTAGTTGCTTTATGGTGACAATAACAAAGTACTGTCGAATTTTCTCTGCCAAGAGAAAAAGAAAGGGTTTTCTCCCCTGCTGTCCTGAATCATGACAGATCAGTTTACAAAAGTGCATAATTATGATTTCTAAACAACTTTTCAATGTTTCCAGTTCAATCTAAGAATGTCAGAGCTGGAGGGACTATAAACACCATCCAATCCACTCAATCCATTTAACAGATGAGAAGATTGAGGCCAAGATAAATCCAGGCCCAAAGTAACACAATGACAGAGCCAGGACTAGAACTCAAGTCTCCCACCCTGCACTATGAAAGCACGGTGCTTTCAACTGGAATACATTAATTCTACCGTCTATATTTTTAGGGCAGCTGGGGCCTAAACTGCATCGGTGGAAATTCTTTCAGCAAACCTGGGACTGAAATTCTGGAATTCTTACTAGTGATGTTCTAATTGACAAACAGGTGACAAAAAGCCCAACAGGTAGCCTAGAAGGCAGAGTCGCAGTTAAAAAACCAGAGCTGCAACCCCTGGCTCATAGCGGGTACTCAGTAAACACATGTACAATGAACGTGTGGTGCTGGCGCCTGGCATTTAGCCCAGCTGTGAGCACTGGGCCTTCCAGATGTGACATTTCACTTCTAGAGCACATTCCTCAGTATCATCTGGCACATCATTATTCCAGCAAAATTTCAACTTTATTCATTGCAACTGTGCTGGGGAGGATACTCCAGAAGCTGTTGTTTAAAGGTTGAAGGAAGGCTTCAAAAGCACACTGAAACTGGGATTCTAACAATACAGTGCAGCTGTGGGATGACTAGGAAGCAGACTAAAGCTGCTGGCAGACCTGTCTGAGTAAAACAATCAAGAATCAGGGTTCGTTTTTAATCTGAGGCTTATGCCATCTAGAAATCTCAGGGTTAAAGCCACAAACATCAACAGGTTTTGCAAGCCATGGGGGCTGTTAAAGGAGCCACAGAGGGCAAAGGACTGTGGGACCCCTGCTCTTTTCAACCAAATGCAGGTCCACAGATCACTCTACTTATTTTCTCCTATAGTAGTTTCAAGGCTGATCTTTTTCAACATGTTCTTTGAGCTATGGTCGAGATTTCTGAGTTAATCTCAATTTCTAATATGGGTAAATATATCAAAAGGGAAGAACAGCAGGCAGGCTATTTCCTATATATAGACAAAGAGGAAGAGGCTTCTGGAACAGGGCCATGACATTTTCTCTACACCCTCACAGTATATGACAGAAGTATTTCAAACTCTTGGCCAGATCATTTCACTCTAGTAGGAGAGCTATGCTTCTCTTGGTTAAGAGAAGCTTGGAAATAGATACAGGGATATTCCTGATTCCAACAACTTCCATTCAAATGTTGTTTCATTGTGATGTTAAATATGAGATCCCTATCTATAGAAACTTGCCAACATAATAAATCTCTCTGATGCTGTCACTCTTAAACTTATAGAAATGCTGTGGTATATAGCTTCTCAACATCAATAACTACAAGAGGCTTATGTGCTGACCTCATAAAGATAAAGGGGTCTCACAACTTACATATTATGTGCTTTCAAGAAGATCTATATATATAAAAGCCTATTTTCCTCTTGAACTATTTTATAAAAATAAGCATGCATTTCATGAAATTAAAACCCAGCTCTAATAGTAAAAACCCAAATTAAGAATATAACAATGTGTGAATGAAATGGAAGAAAAAAAGCTATTATTAACCACAACACTATGCAAAACGCCCAGTCATTTAAGGTAGGAATAAGATATTTATCTTGAACACATAAGAGGATTTGCCACAGAAAGGGAGACAAATACAAAAAAGGCCTCCTACATTTATTGTCTTCCTAGGATATAAAAAGAAGTTATCACTAATTTCTAGGAAATGTAAAAAGGATTAGCCTAAAAGACTATGGTTATAGCCCTGGCCTTTTTCTCTCCTTTTAACATTTACTGCTTTTGTGTTTGTGATCTCCAGAAGCTATATTTACCTCTAGTATCTCTTTTGCGTTCTATCCTCATTTAGATAGCTATTTTGTTGTTGTACTTTATTTTTAATAGATTCAGCTCTTAGCTTTCACTTAGATTTCTTTCTCCCTAGAGTTATTATTCAACCAATGACCTTGTAATGAAGTTTAATATCTGAATCAAACTGCTGTTCTTGGTCACAGGGATTTCATTTCTCCCAATATGCCTCCCATATTTTTTGTTGTCCATGCTATCTTCCATGCAATGTTTCTAGTCATAGATGATCTTAGATTAGAATCTCTGCTTCCTTAGCTTAGAAAATGTAAATATGAATAAAAGATATGCTCAAAAGACAGCTACACATTACTAATAGTAGGATTGTTATAATTCAAAAATCTTAGCACATTCAAATAAAGAATGTTACTGAATACTTACTATAAACCTAGTGTTGCATCGGTTTCATAAGACATAATCAAACATATGCTGGGCCTGGCATGTGCTAACTCACAAAATCCAATGTTAAAAGGAAAACTTTAGACAAAATAAATTTAACAGAGTTTATTTGAGCAAAGAACAATTCAAAAATAGGGCAGCATTCAGAGCCAGGTGAGGTTCAGAGAGGGCCGCTGCACTAGCCAGGGCAGTGAGCTTTTATAGGCTGTTGGAGAAAGAAGTCAAAGAAAATATATTTGATTGGTTAGAGTGGAAAGACCCTCAGTAGAGGTGAGTTGGCAGTTTCTGATTGATAAAGTCACTAGTTTCCTTTTACTGTTTACATTGGGCTTCAGTTTGCTTGTGCAGGTACTTAAAGGGCTAGAGCTATACCAGTCTAACAGCCTCTCAATTAAATCTTTTTAAAAGCAATTTTGCACATCTCTTTCCAACTCCCAGTTCAGTGACTTCATGTCAGTAGCTTAAAATCCACTATGGTAGGGATATTTACACTATAGAAATTAGAAAATGCTACAAATAAAGATTTGGGGTATTTTTTAAGAGACCCAGTTGCTTAGCATTTACCAACATACAATTGGACACAATGTGATTATTTGACTAACAACTCATCATTTTTTTGTAGTCCATTGCTACTCAATTATTTCTATGATTGAGCACTAAATGTACACTATAAATTAAAATATAAAGGTTGTTTAAGGAAGCAGAATGTTCATGAAGTAGATATATCAAGAAATTAGGCCTTATAAGATGTTCTCACATGGCAAAAGGTATTTTATGTTATAAAATAAAACATAACATTTCTTAAGTGCAAATATTTCTCCTACAACACATTCACAAATAAGTCCATGAAGGTTTTGTTTAGAGTATTTTTCTACCATGACAGTATGTTAATTCATAGTAATTTGTAAGATATTTACAAAAGCTGTGGGAAAAGGTTCATGAATGTTATTTTTAGGCAACATGTAAGATAACTAAAAAAATTAATTCCACATGGATATATGGAAGGTAAATTTGATGAAGACCTTCACTACATTTCAATCATCAGGGGACATTATATT